CATTAAACTGCAGACCAGCAGATGCCAATATTTCAGATTAATTTACCAAACCACCAGGCAGCACTACTGCTAATTAGAGGAAGCATTACTCAAGAGGCCGTTATCCTGAGACCAGATCATGTACTAATAACCCATACAGTGAGAGTTTAGATAGCACAATTGATATAATTGTATTTCTTCTTAAAGGCCTTTCTTAATGGCCAATATCCATCATACTCAAGGCTCCAGCTGTCAAATCATTTATATTTTCCTGTGAATCATGGCTGAGTAAGCTTGCTCGAGGAAATGCAAGTGAAGTGTTTTTTAAAGGAAGTAAAAATGAACAATCAGCACCATAACAAACAAGCAATATTCCCATGCTCAAATCACTAAATATTTTATTCAAAGTTTGAAAATAATCTAGCATTGGAAAGATTTTAAATCCTAGTTTTAACAAGATGTTTCTGTACCTACATTAAGAATCACCTTTGTGAAGAAATTCCACACATGCAAACACAGGTGAGGAAAACGTGGCCCTCAGGGGTGGAGTAAAGTTTTGAGACTTGTGAAGAATCTAACAGACCTCAGTTTCATGAAGGTCAGGATTTCACTCCCACAGCATTTTCACTCACATTAATAAAAAATGAAGTTATTTACTGTGATGTTAGAGATCAAGAAGAAAACTATTCCTGCCCACTTTTATATCTATTTCCTGCATGTACCCCCCCAAATTACTCAGCCTCTCACCTACCCTCTGGAAATAATTTTTCAAATTTGTTTTCTTTTATCTGGAGATAAACATCTTTACAATGCACTTGGCCCTGCAGAGCAGTAGTCACACAATGGCTGCCAGAATAGCACCAACAGTGTTTGTTTGTTTGGAGGAATCACCTGAGCACCATTTTTTAATTTGATCTAAAGTAATCAGCCTCTAGAAGTCCATTTCTGCAGGTAGACTCAAAGCCAACAAAAGACAAGATGACTAGAGGACATTAGTAGCTGTGTTTTCCCCTAGCCATCACCACAGCTTCAGATTTAAAGAAGCGAGGCAGGTCTGCTCTCCCACTGAGAGCCACCTCTCCCAGGGGAGCCTGAAGAGCTAATTCAACATGGTCATATAAGCACAAAGGTTTCCAACACCCCCAGCACGTTTATTTATTTATTTGTTGCTTTCACTGCCCAGAAGTCAGCTTTTACAGAACAAAATATTACCTTTTCAAATCTTTCGCACCGCCGTAAGGGAAAGATTGAAGACCTCTGCCAGAGCCATTAAGGCCACACACCTCCTATCCTTCATTTTACAGCACACAGACCCCACACCACCCAGCCATTCCTCTTTTCTAAACCAAGGAGCTAGTTCAGGAAGACAACACTCACCACACACTCACGCTGACCCCTCCATACTGCCTTTATCTCCCAGATGCCCAGCCCAGCACTGGCACCACCTCCACCTTTATTGCTCCTCAGAAACAGGCCTCAGCTGGTGCAAATTGGCTCTTTACTGAGAGGGAGGGGAGGAGGCCTCTCCTTAACCCTTCAGGCTTTCCCTCTCAGAGGCAGCAGGAGCAGAGCAGCAGCTCAGGTGCTTTCTCCGGCCCTATCCCCCCTGAGGGAGCAGCCTCCCTGCTGAGGCCTTCACGCCCCTCGCTGCCCCAGAAGCCACCCGGCTGAGGCAGCTCTCCAAAACACTACCCAGTAGCTGCTGGAGAGGCAGATTTTTTGGTTCCTCTTGGGCTTCTAAAACGAGGTTTTGTTTTGTTTTTTTCTCTTTTAGATCCCTAGGAAACACTGTTGTTCTACAAAATATTGCACAAAATCTTGGTTGAACTCAGTGAAGGATCTAGTCGCAGTTTTCTCTCTGAACCGCGCACAGGAACAACCGTAACACTGGAGCATGTTGTGGCAACAATACTTTTAAAAAGCAATTTTCCCTCTAGCAACTTGTTTTATGTGCTGAATGCAAGATTTAAGTTTGGCCACTATGAGAACTTTCATAAAGGCTCCAGTTATTTCATTACCTCCAAGTGCACATACGCTGTTAAGGGTAATAAAAACACAAACAAGCTTGTGATAGTAAAATGCACGTATTCTAAAGAGCATAGCTTCAGCACTGTATACCCTTCGTATTACACATATATAATCAAGCAAAAGACAACTTCTTAGTAAAAAGAAAGTAAAGTAGTTTAGGACTGATATTACTACAATCCAAGTGGCTCCTGCATCGAGGGGGGCAGATGAAGCCCACAGCTCCTTGAGGTGCCTTGGGTTTCCAAAGATGTGGAAGTACAAATAAGGGAAAATCTTTTTCCAGCTGAGCTGCTTTGTGCAAACACTGTGTAAGGTAAATAAACAGCAAGGGCCCAGGTTGCTTTGAACTAACTACAGACAGACAAGCTAAGCATCCATGAAGGAATTTAACACGGAGGCAGGGATAAAATAAGCTTCCCCCTGTCAAGCCATAGGCAGTTTGGGTCTTTCCCCTTGTTTCTCTCAGTGCAAGCCTGATCTTTAAAAAACCAGAAGGATGGACTTGTTTATTATGTTTATTATTTTACTCCTGAGGTAGAAGCAGCAGCAGTGTTTGATTATGGTTACTGGATACACTACTATCTGCTTTCTACTCTCACTACCAGTATTAACTTGCTCTTCAACCAAAGAGTTGAAAGTTCAAATGGTTTTCACAGCAACCACCTTGGGCTGCTGGAAGCAGTGAGTGCTTTGCCATTAGCTCGAATGGCAAGAGGAGGGACCGCGCCATAGCCGAGGGCACTGCAGCAGCTAGCCTAGTTCCTGCTCTAATTCTGTCCCTCATGGTGGTTGGCACTTCATAGCAAATACCATCTTGCTTGAAAGCAAAAGAAACAGGTCTCTCTATTAATTGCTACCCTCTAGAATGGCATCTGCCAGCTAGTACTAAGGGGAGGCTGAACTTCACCTTTGCAAATGCCAAAGCATGAATTTTAGGCACTTGGATTCAAGGACTTAGCTCTGCTCAGTGCCTTATAAACCACACTTTTTTTTCCTGCTCCTCAGTCCATGATTTTCCAAAGGATGCACTCCTCCCAAACTCTGTCCTTCCTCACTGTTTAGAAGGTGTCTTTGAACAAGGAACATGTCTTATTAAATGGGTAGGGACCGCACACATTACAGTGAGATCTTAACTACTTATCTGGCCCTAAGTACTGAAGAGTAATCATCACTACACTACAACTATACTATAACAAAATATTTATACTTACTTAAAACACAGTCTACTCATTGCAGTCAATCTTCTTTTTTCCTGTTTTTCCAGAACAAACATCCTGTCTGACACATAGTGTCAGAAATGTGTCGTTACACTCCGATGAGAAATTATTTTTCAATTTTTGTTTTCTGAGGATGAAAATCAGATGGAATGTGATGGAATCAGAAAAAGATGTGTATTTTCAAAAACCCATATGCAGGTCTTCCGTAATGTAGTATTAGATCATTACTATTAGTGATAGCAGCAAACCCTAAAATTAACAATGTGCACTGCTGAAAAAGAAATTAGTAAACACTGTGGGTTGAATCACATGATAGTAAGCTGCTTTAACACTCACAGCAAAAGTAATTGTAACAAAATAAGACTTCTTGTTTTTTATTAGATATTGTAAGAATGAAATGTACAGTATACAAAATTAATATAAAAAATGTTCAAGATTGATTTTAACAACACATTTTTCTTTGGATTAACTGCAGACAAGCAGCTTTTTAAGAAGTTACGCTGAGATCTATTTTCTATCATAGGACTCAAGCGTATCACTATGCTATCTACAATTTTAATCCACAAAATTAAAGCTATTAAATTTTTGCTGAATCTTGGTGGCATTTGTTGGAAAAGAATAGAACAGCGACATTAGCTTAGAGGAGAAAAATATATTAGTTCATTACAAAAACTGTTAATTGTTCAAGTTCATAAGCAAAATTGCTTTTGAAATTTCAAACCTTATAATTGTATATTTTCAATATCAAACACTTACCATAAGAAGTTACATTCTATGATACCGGTGACAAAGATTTTTAACTTTTTCTTTTAGATGGATACATAATTCTGTTTTTTCTTTTTCCTAATGAATTTTTATATCTTTAGTGTCACACAAAGTTCATTCTCCTAAAGAAACAGTTTAAATATGGTACACTTTGTAAGCTGAATGTTTTCATTTAAGGTATATCTACATAAAAGGAATGTAAAATAGTTTTCATTTCTTAAATCTGTGTATTTTCAGTTTATGTCATATTGTTTAGCAGAAAGTTAAAGTAACTACTAATGAGTAATCTAGATAGCCTAGAAACAGTCTACCTGTTCCATACATTACATGTTTGCCATAATGCTTTTCACTACAATATAAAATACACTAGAAAACCTAAAATTATTACCAGGGAATTATTACATAGTGTTACCAGTATTACAATGTTTCCCTGATTAAAAAAAAAAACAACAACCCAACCAAAAAACCCCACACCAACCAAACTAACTGAATTTCTCATACATGCTCTACTTTGCAACAGGAATATGATTTAAACTGAAAATTCTTCTTATATTGTCCAAACCATTTTTCTTAATAGACACTGCATGTATTCTGCACAATTGCAATGCATTCAAAATAGTGAGCTGCTCCCAGATAAGCTGGTCAACGATTTAAAACAGGAACGGGTGCCTGACAAAGAGAGGGCCAGCCTTCCAGAACAAAATAGATGGTGTTCTTTCTCTTGAGGTGTCTCTAATGTAAATCACTTTGCCTTTTAAGTTGGCACATATCACAAGAACTCTTAAAACAATCCCTGTGAAATGAACACGGAGACAAATCACAATACAAATGATGCAAAGCCATTCTTCAGAAATTTAGAAGAGTCAAAAGATATTTTTGTTCATTTATCTTTTAGCATTAAACTGGTAAAATTCAGTGGATTGAGTATTGTATTTTTAATAGAGAAACTATTCAAATTATCTTATTCTGGGAACAGCTGGGCTTGCTGTTTTCTTTCCTTTTGTGTTTTTTTTAAGACCATTGGCAAGAACAATCTGTAGGCTCTTGGATTGAATAGCTGACCCAGGTTGAATTACTAGTGCAATACAATTGCACAGTTCGTCTCTGTAGTCCAAGCTCCCTGCAGCATTTGCAGAATCTTGCGTATGTGTTGATGTTGTAGTTGTAAATGCTTGCAGACGGGCACTTTCCATCACATGAAACAATGTTCACCTGGTAACAAATATGAAGAATAATCAGCAAATTGAAGCAGCTAGGAAATAAAATTAGGAGTTCTCAAGAAAGTCCGAAGACGTTAGACACCCAAATCCAATGGCAAAGCAATGAAAAATTTGGCGGTATTTCCTCTAGCCCCTTGTGAAATGCCACTATGTCTCAGTAATAAACTCTGAAGTACATTGCCCAGATAGGTCTCAATTTTTATCTTACTGAGATTAATGATGACTTTCCTGTCAATTTCAGTAACAGCAGATTTTGGCTATTAACAGACATAAAGAAACAATTTCAGTTTAGGATTTTAAAGTATTCATAACAATCTTGGCTTGAACATAGCACCAAATGTTCTGTCCACAACTCTCTACAGTATTAATTTCAGTGATACACTGATGCAGTGTTACTACTGGTATCAGTAAGGAGGAATATAATCAATCCTTTGGAAAGCCAAGGAGCATTACTAGTAATGATATCAAAAAACTGTAAGACAGACTGTAACAGAAATAGTCATATAAACTCGTATTTTTTTCAAGTTTAATAGTCAGGATTTGCGTTTCTGTGCGATGAGACACCGAGACTAAATTTCCTGGCTGCTCAACAGTTTACTAAATGTACTCTTAAGAGTCATTTCAGAGGTTTCAGCTGTTTCCCTATATTCTTTTATTACAGCTTTTCCCGGCACTCTTACACATCTCAGGAGACGCCTGTCTGCACCCTTGCTGCTGCTCAGACTGCCTTACTGCCCAGCAGGACATTATTGGTGTCCTACAGTAAATCCTTTGGTAGACACACAGATAGTGCCTCATTCTTCCTACACATTTCACAGTATGCTCATACTGCTGTCTAAAAAAAATCTTCAGGATGCAAAATTCCTTTCTTCATGAAGTTGGCATTTGAATACGTTCCCTGGACAGATGGAAAATGAAGCACATCTGCAACCATTTTAACTGTAGCGTATCACTGTTAAAATTCAGTTACATCAAAGACAATTTGCATATAATAATTGCATTATAGGGTGACCCAAGACCTTGGATTTGCACTAAATCAACATGCACCTAAACGCATACAAAAGCATAAGTCACATCCCGCTTTTTCTCATTATTTGAGATGATGATTGCTGAAAACGCAGGGAAACATTAAAACAGCTCTATGAAACACAGAAACCTCTGGCTGTGTGAAAGAGAGATGCAGACAATAGCCTCGTGGCATTTGTGTTCCTTTTCCTCCTTCTTTTTATTTCTTATATTTTTTTCCCTTCTATTAAAAGAAATCATGATAGTTATTTACTTACCGGTGTGTTACTTCTGCAGTCATTCTTGCGGATAGTCATCCTAACAGTCACCTTTTTACAGAATTTTCCATCTTCCTTACCTGCAAAATGGGCATTGATTGAAAAATATCAGCTCAAAATTCTAAACATTTCAGAGACAAGAACATTCCTGAATGTTTTATGCAGTGAAAAGACACTAAGAAGAAAATACCCAATACATCACTGCACATTAGCTATACATTGTATTGCTTTTAAAACAGTTCTATTGCATGCATTAAAGTATCTGTCTCCTTATATCTCCAATAACAGTTATAAACAGTTATAAAAGGTTCATTCTTCACTCAGAAGCCTTTTAAGAGTAAGCCCACTGTCTTTCAAAAAATTCTGTAAAATTGATCAACCACTCCTGTGAGAAGCCTTGTTAATAAGGTATAAAATGTATTTTCTATGAAATAACAGTAACAAACTTTAATAGCAGCTATTACGTTCCAGTGGTACAAATGAAGTTCAAAATGAACACTTAACAGCAGAATCCGATGAAGAATACGGCTTCAGAGGGCTTTATATTTCTGTATGGTTTCTATTAAATAAGAAAAAGAACACTGGCAAACAAATTAAATTTTTTATTTAAATTTTCATTAGCTTTATTTCCACAATTTTTCTCACAAAAGTATGTACAAAGTATATGGATGAAATAAAAAAGATAAAAAAAAAAATCTTGACATGAAATAAGAGGAGGTAAACTTAATTTAAAGGAATCCTGAACGTTTGAAGAAAAGCAAAGAAGTTCACTATAAAGTTCGGTTGTTAGAGATCAGAAAGCACAATATCTTCTTACGATGATCCTCTCTATGCTGAAGAAACCACATCACATTGCAGATCTGCAAGAGAAATGAATAGTCCATTCCATTATAACAGCTTTGACAGTTTCACAGGAGATTTTACACCCCATGATGCAGTCCCACATAACTCTCCACTTACAGAGCTGCATTTTATTTCAGCCAAGAAATCCAAAGATATTGACAAAAGATGAATACTGTTAACTCCAGAAAAGCAAGAGCAATGAAAGACTCATTGTTTGACCAATACCCAATACTGAATTGTGACAGAGGTTTGTTACATCTTGATGTGCAATGTCCAGTTTGCTGCTCTAATCACTATCAAACCAGATAATACTGCTCCTCAAAGAGAAATATTTTTTGTGGATTTTGTTTGTTTTGTCTTGGGGGGTTTTTTTTGGTTTGTTAACATATAAGCCTGCTGCTGTTTCTAGACATAGCAGAGGTTTCTAGAATATGAAAGGTCAGCAATGAATCTTCTTGGAAGCAAATAGAAATCTACAATCAGAAATGGCTAGCTACTGCTCGACTATCAGTGAACTACATCTGCTTAGGGAAAAAGTAAATTGAGAAATGAAGAAAAAAAAGTTTTTTAAAAATAAAAAACTTACCATTATTTTATGTTTTTCATAGTCATGTCCTTTCTTTTACATTATACACAGTGTGTAGGATGGACAATTCAGTGCAGCTGTGGCTATGACTTCACCCAGGCTATAGTGAAAATACACCGCGTCTCATAAAGCAATAAATATATAATGTATTTCCATGCATGTACTTTAATGTCCAGTGGCTTTTAATGATCTCTACATCATAACATACTTTTCCACAAAAAACCTTACAAAACATGTGAGCATCTAATATGTATTGTGTTATAATGAGATTCTTTTTCACAGTCTGTATGGTTGAAAATCCTTGCTTGGTTTTTGGGTAGAATCATAACACCTTTGTCATTTAAAGTGATGTCAATATGAAATATAGATTTCAGTGTAGTACTCCTATAATCATGAGTGTAATTTAATGAAGGATGTATCACTCAGTGATGTACAAAATTACAGTCAACATAATTTCTCTTAGAGAGAGATGTTTTCATAAAATAAATGCCAAAACAATTGCTTTCATACCATGTTACAATTAAAAAATAATTATCATGCTCTATTAAAAAGAACAAAGATAATCTCCAATTTTCATGGAGTAAACACAGGCTTGCTATTTCCAGCATACTGTCCTAACTATGGATTGGAAAGAAATGACCTGCTTCTGGAAGCAAAACTATACGATACATCATCTGCAAAAATGTTGTTTATATAATAAGCTTTAACAAGCAAAGCAATTAGTCTCTATGTTCTACAGCACTGTGAACATAATGGAATTAACTTACATTTTTAAACAGCAATTTTACACATGCAGCAAGCTAAAGACTACGCAAGTGCTCACTACCAACAGTACATTGTTGGCTTACAACAATGCACCGCCCACACAGTGCAAAATGAAAAACAAACCAAAACTAAAATGTGAGCCATTCTGAACCATTAGCAGTTATACTACACTGCAGCTTTTGGCATAATTGTGTAACGTGAGGCCTGATGATCCTATCAGGGAGTACATTGTTGGAAATCAACAATGATGCTGTTTGGGTTGGTCCTACTTACTTCCAGGAGAATGTACCTGTGTTACAGCTAGCATAGGCTGTAGGAGTGACTGGGCTAACAGAGAATGGGAGGAGCATTGACACTGAAGAACCTGGTAAGAACATTACATATTGAATAGAGTACATGTTACAGAGGATTCCCTATCAGTATGAAACATCTTGGAGTTATTAGATTTTGGCATATTTGAGAAAAGAATTCAGCCTAAAAATGTCTGTATATTACAGGATCACAGAATGGATGAGGTTGGAAGGGATCTCTGGAGGACATCTGGTCCTGCCTCCCTGCTCAAGCATGGATCACTGCACCAGGAGCTCAGGACCATGCTCAGGTATTACTCGCACTGCTAAGCCTAATGTCAAAACCAGGAAGGATCTGATCTACATTGGTATAAGACATTCTGGCACCCTAAATTTAAGTTGTTCTTTGGGGCCACAAGAAAGAAATAGTGTAATTTCCTCTGAGCAGTGTTTGTAAAAACTCACTAGGTTTCGATGGAACTCCCAGGACTTATTTTTCAAGTAACACTTGAAACTGAAAGCAAAAAATCACAATGGTTTCTAATGGCAAGTACTTCAAAAGACAACAACGTGATAACCCTTCCCATAAAACATCTCACACAACTACAACTGAGTAACAGCTCTCATGCCAGATTTATTCAGACTCAGAATGAGCTACATAATTCACAGAGGTACTATGTTGTCTATAAACAGGTGTGAAATCCAAACTGTGTGAATCTACTTGTAAATGCATCTCAGAAGTCACTGGATTTTTCAAGGGTTTAATTTTACTTTGTGACACATGCCCCACATTAGTAATTTTTGTCTTAATTATTTAAGAGTGTGGTTATGATCTTTCTCTAAGTATAGTAGCAAGATCTTCTGCCTCGCTGAGAAGTAGCTTAATGGTTTTTTAATGGCCTTAATAAATTGTTTGTTCAGAAGATGGCTTATATGCTAAGGCATTAAAGGGTAATGTCAGATAATCAAAATCTAATCTCAAAGAGCCTATGGAGAATAGGATACAGAACTAGGGCAAGTGTTTGAAACACAGGCCCATCAGAGTGAAAAAACATGAGGAGATATTACCATTCCCTTACAGCGACCAGGAGGAGGAAAAAAGCAGATAAATCTTCCACAGTTTCAAGAACCTTTGCACTACAAAATGTAATACATAATGAATAACACCAAAAGGTACCGCCCAGTTTGGAGCATTCATCCCACTGCAGTAACTGTGCACGTGGTACCATAACTGGTAGTCATGATTGTTCAAGTCCCATTCCACCCAGCAAGAAATATCTGCACTTTTCTCCAGCTCTCTCCCACACTTTATCTCCCCCCATCCTTTCCTTTTAGGTCACTGTTCCAGCCATTTATGCAAATGAAGTGAGATTTTTGCACCTTTTTGAAGATAATAAGATACTGCCCAGTATAAAATCTACTTTTCAATTGCTTATAACATTGTCAATTTTGCGTATTAGAGCTTAAATTCTTCAGGTTAGGTGTCTGCCTCAGCCTAAGTTCTTCATGAAATCAGCCAAAATGTTTCTGGCGTGTACCAGTGTAGTAAGAAAAATGTACTTAGCTCAGTATATATTAAGAATTAGCTTATTTGGAACCTGTTCTGTTATTTTATTTTTTTCCAGAGAACCTTTATTAGCTCTCACAGAAGTCAAAACATATCTTGGTAATCAAGTAAGGGAGGATTTTTTAATTGCAAGTTCTTTTGAAAGATATTGCCAGATAGCTTCTGAACTACGTCTATTAATAGAACCTAAGACTATATTACAATCACTTAATTATTTACAGCATTAACTTACAAACTGCATAGATCAATCTTCACTTTTACCAAATATGAAGACATGAATGTAGATTAAGCATGTTTTAAGGCACCTTTCAAAACATAGTACATTTTATTATACTAAATGCAGTAACTAATATTTTGAGGAGTTTTACACGAGAACTACAAAATACTCAATACTCAAGGTAGCAAATTTAGTGACTTGGCCAGCCATAATCACTATCAGTGGAACAAACTCCTCAATGTTAAACTACTTTCTTCTGCTTTAACTCCACTAGTTTCACTGGTATTCACACGAGTAAAACTGGGAAAAGCATGGCCTTTGAGACCGGTGAATCAAGCTTTCATGCAGGAAAGAATCAACTTTATTTCTAAGGTAAAAACAAAGCAGACAGACTTGCGAGGCAGGAATTGTCATTAGTCACTTACATGTTTTGCAGCATCCTTCTAAGAATGGTACAACATAGCCTCCAACCTGACCAAGAGAGAAATAAAGAGGAAAAAGATTTATTTTTTCCAATATTCATTCCCATATATCTGCACTATTGGAAATATCTTCCAGACAAAGCTCTGCAATGTTATTCAGGCAAATGCAGCACACTCTGGTGCATGGAGGAAGGTTTGGCTGTAAATGATCGAACTTGGCTGTTTTAACGTGAGTATTAAGTGGTTGTCACTGAATGCCACTATACATCACCAGCTATCAAAATGCCACATTTGGAGAGGGAATGACTGTGTTAAGTCTTACTCCCTCACGTGTTACTTAGAGCAAACCCCTGACTTCTTATAGAGGCCATATTGACAATCACAAAAAAAGGATTCTGAATTCAAAGCAGGAAGAAATCTCATCTAAATGAGAAGCCACCCACTCCCCATAGTGGAAAGTCATGGCTTTCTTCAGTGCTGTAGCATGAAGCACTCCCCAGAGCACTGTGGGAAGAATAGGTGCAGCTTTTTAAAAAGCTATCTCAGGATTACACTGAAGGAGAGTTTGATTTTTGATGTCCACCTCAGTATCTCAACCCATGATCATCTATCTCTCTGCTTCACCTTTTTTAGTTTGCCTAGAAGAGCAAAAGGCCTTTCACCAGGTGAGACTCTCTCTGCAGAATCAATTCATTGTTATCTGTGAGGAAGAACGACAGCCACCTAGTTCCTTTAGGAACTGCTTTTGTTCCCTGCTTGTGTACCATCATTCATTAAGGAAAGTATCCTCCCATCCACATGTAAATGTACAATTGCAGAGAGCAATATGAATTTGCTCCCTGCATACATTTCCTGGCACTCAGTCTAATCTCACCTTGCAAATTCAAATAGTGCTTTTGCTTCTCTCGAAAAACTAGTCCACAAAACCTTATGTTTCACTGTAGAAAAGATTTTCCTGATATTCAGACAATCTTTCCTTTTCTTCAATGTTTTTGACCAGTGTGATAAATAAAATTGCTATACACAGAAAATCAGTTAGAAAGGAGAAGTCCAACCCAGAAAAGCATCCAAGTTCAGACAGCTATATAAGGACTAGATTGATATTACAAGCCTCTATGAAAAAAAAAACCAAACCCCAACTATCTGAGAAGAAACTGTGTAACTAGGCAGTCTGGTGGCACACTATATGCATGTAGTTAGAGCTTTTCATCTGGAATACAAACAATGTATGGAACACTGACCTTCACACATTCAGTTTCATTAAAGGGTGGGCAGCCAACTGAAGTGGAAACCAGAACTGGTCCTATTGCTGTGTTAGTGCATTCATATCTGATGCAGTTTGATATCCAAACAGTACCAGGCTGTTAAAAATTGTAAAACAGAACCTTTACTTAGCAACACAGCAAAAACAGTCTTCTAAGTATTTATTATACAGTTCCAATGAATATGAACTTGTCTGAATCATAAGTAATACTTATAGCAAAATGTAATGTAGCCGCAAGTTAAAGTTCTGTTTAAGTACAGAACTTAAAAGTCCACTAAATATGTAATGTTAAGCAGGTTCTAAAATAGTCAAGTTGACAATAATTCTCTGATATATCAAAATTCCTTAATCTTTGTAGACAGCTATGATTGACTCTCCAAGAAATTAATGCTATGTACATGCAAAACTATTCCTAGTATTTGTCCAAATAAAGCTATTCTTTGCACATTGTATATGGCAAAGTGTGTACAGTATCTCATAATTTTTTTGAGACATGTAGAAACTTACCTTAAAATTGGAAACTGTGCCATTGCTGAAAGTGTGGAGACAAGACAAATTCTTACAGCTACCACAGCAAGTTGTCAAATCTTTTGGAGGCTGATAGACTTGGTTCTGCCAAAATCAAATAGATTGTTCCTTGTATGAAATCATCTTGCAGCTTGCCATTTTACTACTGTAGTGGGCAGATTTGTTTCAGGTAAGGGATTTTAGGGACATTTTTTAAGTAACTTTCAAAACTTCATAGCTTACATTTGCACACATTGTACATTCATGAAGCTTTTATAAAATACCTTTGATCTTAACTGAAGTAAATGGGGAGAAGTTCCAACTCAGAGAATGAACTGGTCTTTCTACCATTTTCAAATGCAAGTCTGACAGCTTACTTCAAGAACCACTGAAATTTTGCCTTCTTACACATTAGATATCAAGTAGGTGCATAATTAGAAAAAGTGATCTATATAATATGCCCATGGTAATGTATCATACTCTGTAAGAATACAAGGTATCATTTGCCTATTTTATAAAGCTGTTTTCACCACATTTAGAATTATTCTTCTGGTTATAATTAATCTCTTCCCAATTCTTATTGAGCTAGTGTCTGCCAGGAATTGGTACCAGTTTGTACATAACACAGCTGAAGTCATACAGGGATGCAAGGTTGTAGTATGCTATTACTCCAAGGTGGCAGGATGCTATATACATTAGTTTGCATGAGATTTACACAGGGGATAAGAGAGTGAAGGGAGTGAGACTTTTATAAACTTCTAATAGAATTGCAGTAGCACATCATTAGAGATCTCACAGTTAGTCTTTCCAACTTCTTCCTATGACTATAATCTACTCAATAAAACCTAATGAAATATAACCAAGATCACCAGTCACAATATATATGTCTAAAATTCTGAATTTCTTACAGCTTTGCACTTGACAGCACAGTCTATTGAAGTCGTGTTTATTTGGTAGTATTTAGTGGAGGGATCAATCACGTTTGTACAATAAGAAATATGGCAAATGCCATCTGCACTGTGTTCCACGATTGTCTGTCCAGGAAGCAGCACAGCTCTCTCATTACTCAGGCAAACTTTGTCTCTCACTACAAGAAAACACAAAAATATACACTATGCTCAGGACAATCAGCTTGGTATCAAAACTCCATTAAAAATGTTTCAAGCAGTAAAATAGGAATGGAAAAAAACCACTCTACCTCTTTAAGAATTATGGGTCAGATTTTCAAATATAAACTGTTAATAGTAGTCTAATTCTTCACTATAACCACCAAATTATTTCAAATATAATCATGCATGAAATCTAATATATAATATTCTATTAGCTGCACCACCAAAATGAGAGTGTAGGCTTCTTCAACTGATTTGCTTTGTAAGTCTACTTCAGGATAAGAAACGTTCCTGAGAAATTTCTATTTCTCCCCACTAATTAGCAGGGCACAGAGGATAATTAGCTCAGAAGTATACGTTTTTGTTGTAGAAATCTAGGCAAGGACAATCCCAACTCCATTGGCCAACTGGGTTCCCCACAGGAATTTTTTCCTGAGTTTTCTCAGATGCTATTGGGCATGCTCTAAGATGAATTTGCATGGTGCTGAATGCTATCCTTGATCTTGTAAAGCACATAAGCATGTCTACCACAGCTCTTGAGTAGTCCCATAATGGATTAGCAAGACTTTTCTTTATGTGGACACTGAGTGTGTGTTTTCATTTCTTGCTGGAGTCTTTACTCCAGGTCAGCAATATGCAGGCTGCTTACTCAACACCACCCAACGTTCCTCAAATTCTGTCTGCTATTTACCTGCACAGACCTCCTGCTGCATGAACTAATAGAATACAAGGACAGGCCATAATCAACCAAATACTTAGTGAGGGGTCCTATTTTCTTGCCTTTTCTTTCTTGTGAATTATGTCAGTCAATTCCTTTCCTCCTCAGTACCGTGTTCAAAGTGAACATCCAATTTAGAATTCCTCGTTTACCTTAACACTCAAAAGGGTATTTCTTTGAATTAAATTCATTTCTGACTTACCACATTTGTACTTAACACAGTTACAGATATTTTCTGTACTGTTCTGAAACTGTTCATCTATCTGAAGTTTCTGCCCCTAAGTGTATAAAAGCAGAAAGAAAAAAAAGAAGAGAAGTGAAACAACAGTGTTTTCTTATCTGTATGATCTTTTTCTCTTAAACACTTTTCCTCCAGGATATGAGTAGCAGTATCTCTTGCCCCTAGAAACCTATTTTGAATCCACTTTCATCACCCACAGGGACATTTAATTCAGTAATGATAACCAAATGGGAATTTTCTTACACCTGAAAACCAGGAATGGTTGTTGGTGTCAGTACAGCAGACATTTAGGACAAAAAAGACTAAGCCAGGCCAACAATGAAATGTAATGGCTTGACTTCGTATAGAAATCTCCACGCAAAGTGGAGTGTATTCTTTCACAGAATAACTTAATGTACATTAATAGTATTATAATAGCACAGATGTACTTCTTAATTTTGCCTTTTATTTTTTATATGTATGCACATTAAGATTTTTCTCACAGTTTTCTGCAAGTCCTGATTCCTTATGCCCAAGTTTCATCTATGAAATGAAAGTATTAACAACCACCTCACTTATAAAACATTTTGAAGTTCCTCTATAAAAAATGAGTACTATTTCCAATTCCTTCCTAGGGCTCCAAATTACAGTTTTTATAAATTGTTCCCATAGCAATATTATTTTCTGGATAAAATGACAAGCAAAATCAAAGCATACCCAGTACTGACTGAGAACCTAAGCCAGCAATGTTAATAAGCATTTTTGTAATGCAGAAGTCACAATGAAATACAGTTTAAAAGTTCTGCTTAGTCAGCAGTTAGAATGCATGATATATGTTAAGATATTCACTATAACAAATAATATTAACAAAACATTGATGCTTAAAAGTATTTAGTTCTGACAATTTAAAACCGAAATTTTATCCTCGGGTGCATGAAAACAGTTCCACTCTCCAAATACTTCAGGGCAGCATATGGTCATAAACTCCAGAAATATCAATGCTATAGAGCCATTTTATTCTGCAAGATATTTAAACTTAACTGGCTTCTTGAAAATGGCTGTATCTTCTTGTAAAGCAATTAAAAAAAATGACAGGGCATTTCATTTTTCACTGATAAAACTATTAGAAAGATAAACAGATTTATTAAGAAATTAATACAAGAATACTGACAGAGAAGATAAATTTCATACCAGTTTGCACTGAGGTTTGAGGATCGTTTCACATGCACATTCTAAAACAAAAAACAATTACAGAAACAATAGTTTAGAAAGTTATACGCCATTTGCTTAGAACATCAGAGAGAATAGTAATTCCATATTTACAAGTCATCACTGAAGAAGTTCTGCTGGTTTTTGAAATATACCCATCTGGGGAGTCCAGAATTATGTTTGATTTCTATTCCATCCTGAAAGCTAATATCAGCTTATATGATCACCTTTACTTATTACAATTTACAGCATTGTATCAACTGCAGTCCACCTGAACACTTGAAAAAAAAAAGAAAATATGATCATTCTAGCCACTAGCCTCCTTGCAGTGCCGACAATCATTACAATCAATATAGAGCAATGGAGAATTGTGTTTAGGGCATTGCAAAGAGATGTATGATATACTACTGCCTTTGTAAAATGGCAGATTCCTGACCTGTGAACCTAACCTTTTTTTTTTTTTAAAGCCATAAATAATTTAGTACTTCTTCCAAAATTTTCCAGATAAGTCACCCAGTTTAGACAGGCAAATTCTACAATATGCAATCACCTTTGTGAAGCAAGAAAAAACAAACAAGCGGATTAAGAAGTTCTGTACCATTAAATGACTTTTCTGTATCATTTGTTCTTGAGCAGATCACTATAGTATAGCTGCCTTAAATCAGACTTAAACCCAAGAGGACAAAGCTTTGCCAGCACCTTATTGTCTAAGGCAACTAAAATGAAAATCAGCCATTTTACCACATGTCCGAAAGGGGCAGCACTTCTCTGGGCTCCATACCTCCACCAAAGACATGCCTAGCATACATTTGAATTCAGGACAACGATGTATTTCACAAACTAAAATTAAGGAAAAGAAAGTCCAATAAACACAAGGTTGTCATATTTTGATGGACAGAAATATGAATCAAGAGATAGTAAATGGCTTAATAACTTTAGAAAACTTCTTACTTGAAAAGACTAAGAATCGAAATGTAATCATAGTCGTCAGGCAATAGTAGCATGGACTACAACTACTCTAAGCAAATATTTAAAACTGTTTTAAATCTCCAGAATTTGGGGCCTGAAATAACTGATCTGTCTCCATGATACAGATATTCAGATAACGCTTTAGGTACATGAAGTTTTAAAAGTAAAGATTATTTGTTCAGGACTACAGCTAGCTTGCCTATATGCACAAGTGGAGCTGTATCTCTAATCCACCATTTTTGGCACTGAACATCCACACTAAAAAATTTGACATATTCTCTATCACTTAAAGTATCAAAACCAAGTCAAACTTACTACACTGGTATGTAGGGCAACACCTCTCTGTAGCATTGCCATCCACAATAAGAACTTCTCCTTCTTGACATTTGGGTATTTGATCAGAGCAAGCCCCGCATGCTGGAGAAAACAAATATTTAAATCTAAAACATATGAAGAAATTTTACTACTGCCTAGGAAATATGCCTGTAAGTTTCTCACAGACAAAAAATCAAAGAGAACAGAAATACTCTGCATCACAGTCCCTTATAGTCCCTATATAAGAGGCTAATCTTCAGTGCAGGTGGCCTTTTCTTTGTCCCCTGTTATAAAGAATGAATACATTGTTTGTGAGTCAGATCACAATAAACAGGATTTTCTCTCCCTTTCTGTTATGAAAAATTTTGCAAGATTTTCCTTCCTACCAAGTCACCCTGCTGTATTCAGGAATGCTCCTCTGCCTGAATTAGAATCTTTGATGCCTAATAAAGGGCATCTCCTATGGTTGCGTGTTATCCTCTCACTTGAGCTAATCAAGACAAGTCAGCCTTTGATTCACAGATATCTATGAAATAGAGTAAATTCAATAGGGCCTCATTATCACATTGTCATGCAGAAAACAACCGTGTGGTAACATAGGAACTCCTATACTCATGCCAGAAGTGCAATTTTATTATTGAATTAAGTCATTAAAGGCCAACCCCCAAAAGAACCAAACAAATTTGCATAACATGCGATATTTAACATCTAATAAGATGGGCCACAGCTGGTACAATAGGATATAGGGAGCAAGAACACATGTAACTTCACCATCTTCTTTCAGATAAAGTATTCATGCAGCTAGTCCACACACTGTACAGGGACTGTCTCTCAAAAGCCCTCAAGTCTCTCATTCACCACTCCTCCATATGACCCAAGAATACTACTCAGTTGCACAAAGCTGTTTTGTGACTCTTGATGGTTGTTGCCATTTCTTATGTTTTGTAAACTTCGTGCCCATTTTTTTAAGCACTTTCAAGCCTTACTATCTTGGGAGCACTAAAGGAAGTACAAGGAGCCTTAATTGGCAAGATAATAGTAGACATCATTGCACATGCAAAACCACTTATAGCCTCAACCAGCCAGGATACTGTACCACATATATAAGAAATGCAGCAGGTACTCTCCACCCGAGCAGCAATTAGTGTTTGATCATCTTGACAGCTTGGCATCTGCTCCATTGGTTCACATTTTGCTGGATCACATTCTGAAAAAAGTACAACATATTTATTTCTTTATACGAAGTATAGCATTCCTCTTTTATTATGCTATATCCCTAAGAAATGGCAAAGCAGAGCAGAGCAAACACTTTAGAAAAGCTTTTACTTTGTATTGCAAGAGAGCAAAGACACATTCTCACCTGACTGTTAAACACAAGACTCCATCATTATATCTGCACAAATTGAGGCACAGACCAACCCTGAGCTTTTAGATGAAAGAGAATTTTGTAAATGGCCATACTAACAATGATGTCTACACTACCTACCCTTTTGCTTCTAAGTTGATCTATTTACTTTACTGAATGTCTTTTACAGGGTGAGGTTTTTTTACCTTTTCAAAAGAAACCTACCGCAAACATAATTGGGACAACAGGATTCTTCACTGTAGTAAGTGACCAGCTTTTCCAAGCCATTACACTCAGGGATTAGGGGTTCACAGAGGCTCTGATTACAAACTGTTAAATAAAGGGAAAGAAAAAAAAAAACCCCTGCTAAACTATTTTACACAATTATAAGTCAAGTAGAGCAGTGGCAAGCAGTATTTGTAGTTCAATACCCCAAATCTCCAAATAACAACAGGCATATGAAAATCATAACAAACTAGCAAAAATTCAGAAGTGTCTGGCATTTGCAACACTCTCCATGTAGGCAAGGTTAAACTAGAGCTGAGTCCCTGTGGGAGTTTGGAGAAGAAAAAAAAAAAAAAAAAAAAAAAAAATCCCTGTATAAAACTCACTGGAACATCAACCCAGGTGGTCAAAACATGAAAACTGCTTGGAATTTCTTTTTGAAGATGGACTTTCTAAGCTAAATAAGGATTTAAAAAAAGAAAAAAAAGCCTTTATAACCTTTTTTCACTGCTTACTTCGTAAATTAGATAAACGATCATCTGATTTTTTTTTTTTTCCTAGTAATTAGTTATATCGTTTATTTGTATTTGGGCATTAAAAATAAATCAGTAGCCTGTACAGCTGAGAGAAACACAATTCACATCCAAATAAACATAGAGCTATTTCAGCCCTTCTAACCCTTGTCCCCTTCCCCTCTTCCCCCAAACCTACTGGATATTGAGCCAAATAGTACAAACTTTCTAAAATTTTCTAGATAATCTGTAAATTCAAACTGAAGTAATTTCCATTCAGTTCAAAAATAGGATGTGTAACAGGGAAACAAACCATGGAGAAAAGATATCTGCCTATCCCAGTGGGCAGTATTTATAATCATTAAGGGATACTTACTACAGATCTTCTGAGGACAACATGTCTGATCTCCAGGAACAAGCAAGGCCACTTCTGCAAATCGCTGACAGTCTATATTTTGGATATCTGAACAGTTGTACTCCACTGGAATAATGGTCTCACTGTCAACACATTTTTGCATACAGCATCCGCTCAAAGAAGTTTTCCAGATCTCACCTATTGCATGAGGTGCTCCTGAGCTGTCTGTACAAGCTAAATCAGGACAACAGAAAATGGAAGTAATTCCTTTTTGCTTCAAATTTTGACCACCATTTTCTTCCACAGTGGGTGGGGAACTATGAAGTATAAAAATCCCTGAGTTTTAAAGGCATCACCTATCCCCATCACCCCACAAAAAGTGAAAGAGGAAACAGTCTGAGACTGAGTTTGTATGGGAAAGCAAGACACTCAATACCCTCCAGAGGATCAGGGCCTCCACTTTGTTTTGTGTCTCCACTGCAAGGCTAGTCACTTAAAAACCCAATCCAGTCCTTTGTTTTTAAAGCAATGATCTGAAAAGAAGTTACATTTGTATTTCATACAGAGCAAAACTATTATTAATTTACAGTGCTTTATGTAATTGGACTTATAATAAATTGCATCTTTCAGGTTCGTGGTGTTAATCATAAGTATTGGTCCACAATTTGGTGTGCTCAGGCAGAATTGTGATGAAAATAAGTATCAACACTAGCAGAAAGAGCATAGGACATATGCATGTATTACTCAAATGTGTAATTGCTGTTGCTGCATGTCTTTTGAATGCCATTTAGTATTAATAGGTTGGACCCCTTGGCAAAGAGCTAGGTGAAAAGGAGGTCAAGACAAATACACTTAGAATACTAGAATGCATAAACATAAGCAAAAACTTCCATTTTGAAGAGCATCCTCCAGATGAGAGAAAGTGAGCAAAATTGTATGTCACAAGGACATTCCCTGTACAGTTAATGTTTACTGAATACCCAGAGCCCTCAACTGAATGACATACGCAGAATCCATACATCAGGCCAGAATTCACCTTATTACTAATGTGGTATCTGACCACCAAATTGCAGATAATAAAGAAGAAAATCACACCCAAACATACCACATTTTTCTTCAGGAATACAGACGGCAGTGTGAGCTCGGTGAAGGATGGTCCCTCCAGCACAGACACAGCCTTCTGTCAGCACTGAGCAGGAGTCTGAGTCCAGAGAAGCAACCTCCCTATTCTGACAACTATCTGCAACCTCACAGGCAGCTATACAAGCCTGATAGGAGAAGTTTTCAGAGCAGGGGAAGGCTAGGACAGAAATAAACAAATCACTCATTCTGAAGTTGTAATCAAATGAGGCAGTACCTAAGAGAAGACATTATTGCCATCTTGAAAAGTACCTGTGCTTGCCAACTCAGTAGGACCTATGAACCTAAAACACCAATACAGACCAGTTACCTTCTACATGACAAATTCAAACAAAAGGAATTTGTGAGCACTGTTTCTCCTTGTAGTAACATTTTCACGAGGCTCTGGATTGCATTTTGGCAGTAGAGAGATCAAACCATGCAACAGTGTTGACATAGAGCAATTTAAACTTCTAAAACATTTGAAAGTACTACACAGATTAATAATACAGTGTCCTGAATCATTCTGAATACCTTGCAGTGGCTAAAATTAAAGGGCAAAGCCTTGTCAATTACAAAAATATATATGTAAAGGCAAATTTACCATTGTTTTACATGGAATAATAAAGAACGTGATGAACTCATTACTACATTTAATAGATATCCACATTAGTTACTCTCTTGTATGTGTACGTTATTTTTAAGTCAATGAACACAGTTAAATTTAACATTCTTTATACTACTAATGTAAATTCATTGGCATGTATGGGTGCATGCATGAACAGACCAAAAAAGCATCTAATTTGATTTAAGTTTTGCTGTTGAAAACTTAACATGATCTTTCATTTGTTCAAAACAGCAATTGAAGCTGCATAAATATGGCAAACAGAGAATGACTACAAATGCCAACAGTGTTGTTCTGTGAACTACCAAAATATACAATCCTCATCATGTAATGATACCCAAATCATACAGCAACACCATCATGGTAGTGAGACAAAGTCCAGTTCACAAAGGGACCATCTGCTCAAAAATTAAGAAGGTTCCAGTTTAGACTTTAAAGATTAACTGGGAGGGGAGGTTGATTTTATTCAGCTTCTCACTAGTAAAAATGGCCATAATACCCCACAAGAAATATCTATTAGAGCCTTGTAAATAGAGGAACTCAGGCTTTTAAAAATCAGTCTACAGCATAACAACACTTAGTGACCACAAAATCCAGATGCAACTTCATGGTTCTTCCTTGCTAGGCACACACCACCAGAGGTCACTGCGGTATAAAAATAAGAGAGCGATGTATCCCCTCACAATGGATGGAATACATAGCTATATTCACGGATATATTTTGTAAGATATCTTTTTAAACAGTTATTTACTAGTAAAATACATACAAACTGAAGAATTATTTTTTAAAAATTGACTGGTTTTATACGTTAGACTCCATGACTATTATTTGCAGGGCATTATGACATGCCTTCATGAAGCCTGTAAACAGGTACCTACCTTAAATCACTTATGATTTCTGTGTACAGCGAGTTCTCTTATTTTTGGGGATCATGCTTCATGAATAAGTCTTTCCCTTTTCAAGCAGTGAAACCAGACAACCCTATGTTATCACTGCATAGGGCTTTTCCTAGGCAATCATTTTCTATTTACTGACAACTACAGATCCCATTTGGCCTTACATTTTAACATGTTGCTATGGGGGATGTCTTCTGCCAGGATACTCTAGCTCTCAGGTTTTACTCCTTACTTTCCATCTAATATCAAAGGTGTTTCATTTCTCCAATCCCTTATCCAAAGACACAGCTTCCTGGAGAAGCATCAAGGAGGAATCACCAATTCAAAGTACCACAGAACTTTCTGTGGCTTCCTCCTTTCCACAACCAACCCTGTTGTGTTTTGGTTTTATCAGTGGAGAGTGGCTAAGAGAAATGAACACTACATTGCAAGCAAGAAGATTTGACTTCTGCAGTTAAGTACGTTATAAGCCAGAGGGAGACTTCTGAACAATGTTCTTTAGCTTACCTTTAGCCATCTGTGAACTGGCTATAATGATCCTGATTCCCTTTGCACACTGCTTTGAATTGCATCATAAAAAAAATGCTGAATTTATTATCTCAAGAATGAATTCCAATGTGCATGAGGACTCAAGAAGCACTGGTATTTTCAACTTACATTTGTATTAGCCAAACTTTGTCTCTGTGAACACTAGAGGTACACATATACGTGCAGAATACTTACGGCAGTATTCAGAGCTCCTCCATTCTATACAAATATTAAATTTGTTGCACATCGCCACATAGGCAGCTAACGAAATGCATGGATTTTGAATGTACTCAGTGTCTTGAACCCATATATTACAGAATAGCTCAGGTGGAACCTATTAAACAAAAAAATAAAAAATATTGCACCTTCATAGACAGCCTGCTAGGATTGCCCTTTTTAAATATCAGCTACAGCTAAGCCAAAAATTCTTGGTTAGCAGTAAGCCACCAGCCTTCACTGGTGTACAAAGAGAGTCAATTAGTACTTAAAAGTAAGGCTTCCTGAATGTTGAAAACATATGACATCCTTATATTCCTCAGTTTCATCCCTTATAAGTGCCAAGGCAAGAGCTAATACAGTTTTTCCAATAGAAGGCATAATTACTCATAGTTCCTTGTTCTTCCTTACCTCTATGTTTTTGTCTATTTTGGCCTCCTCTTCATCAAACTCAACAATATACAAAAGGTGAAATGATAAATATACTCATATAAGCACAAATACACACTTTATTTACACAATGCGAGTTTGTTATTTGCATTAGATTTGCTTTAAATGGCCTGTTCTACCCTCTCATCTCTCTAAGCTGGAACTCGTTGTCTCTGGGGCCTTTGACAATGCAGGCTCTCTGACTACCTATTGCTATTTGGAACTTGTTAAATTACTGAACGCTTAAGGATTAATAAAATCCTAAACTATTTTATTTTACTTCGCTCTACATCATATTGATACAGTTGAATTAGCTGGGACTTATTTATAAATTAGATCGTATTGTCAAAACTAACAGAAATATATTATGAAATCTGAAAGTATTACTTGCTTATTTGCAACTCTCCTATCAAGCTGACACAATCTTCAATTATTTTTACCTTGCAACTGTAGATACAAAACAGTATCTATCTCATTCCACAGATGTGGTTACATGTAGTTTCACATTAATGAAATTATAAAGTATACAAAATTGTAATCAGAACTAACATCTCTCTCAAAATGTAAGCTTCCAAAATAGTTAACATACGTAAGGATGACAGCTGCTGAAGGTCTGGTTCAACACCAGTCTTAAGCATTCTGAGCAGTCCATGACTGAGCAATTAGTTTCCTGATGCCTGTCTTCTCCAACATACTTTAACGTGTCTGGCACTTGCCAGCTGTCTATAAAAGTCGATGGAGAGTCACTTTTGCTTAGAACTGTCCTGTTGGGTAGCATCAGGTCATTTTCCAAGCTTCTGTCACAAAAACCTGTGCATTACCAGAAGAAAAAAGCAGGTTAACACCGCACAGTTCATTCTGAAGTATAAGTGGCATATTCAACCAAGTAAATAGCTTTTAAAAAACTTACACAACATGACAGTATCACAACCCACAACAGATGTGGAAAGTCTGGTAGGATCAAACCACACAGAATTCAGACAAAATAAGCAAAGCAAACGTAAAGATGTATCTATGAATTAAGACGGGTGAAAGGACATCTATTGCATATCAAACAGCTGTTCGGAGAGCCCAGCTATGGCACACAAGCATCACCCCTCAGTTGCACAAGCAGTAAACAAAAACGTATTTTAAAAGAGGTTACAAAGCACCTCCGCATATAGTGACAAATGAAAACTGTAAATGATATCAGAAAAGGGAATGCCAAGATGCTTATCTGATACTGTACTTCAGAAATACTGTACTATTCTACTTATGCTTCTGAGCAGTCTTACACATCTATTGGCTTAAGAGCTACCACAAAAGCGCAGCTTTTGGCACTTCCAGGTATACTTTTATTACTCCTCAGCAGGAAAAAAGCAAA